GTTGAAAAATGAAAAATTTCACCATGTGATGAGTGTGGAACTCTTTACTTCATTCTGACAGACGCTTTGTAAAATCCTTCTGCGTTTAAAAATGAAAAATTTCACCATGTGAGGAGTGTGGAACTCCTTACTTCATTCTGACAGACGCTTTGTAAAATCCTTCTGCGTTGAAAAATGAGAAATTTTACCATGTGAGGAGTGTGGAAATCCTTACTTCATTTTAACAGACGCTTTGTAAAATCCTTCTGCGTTGAGAAATGAGAAATTTCACCATGCTGAGGAGTATGGAACACCTTACTTCATTCTAACAGACGCTTTGTAAAATCCTTCTGCGTTGAGAAACGAAAAATTTCACTATGTGAGGAGAACACAAACTTTAGCCGATCCTTATTTCCACGGAAGAAACTCAAAATATTCTTTATTATACTCTCCTATTGAGGCTATTCAGAATTAAATTACAATGTAAAAAATGATATCAAAAGAAGAAAAAAATTATAGTAATGTCATGGTGCATATGATAATTATATTTAAAAACTGTATCAGTACTCCTTTAAAATATTCTTTAAAACTAGTTTAAAACTTGGAAAAGAGTCAATATATCTAACGCTCTCGGGCAGATTGTTCCACTCTGTAACTGCTCCATACAAGGAACTGCGGGGACCTGTAGATGAACAGTACTACGGAATCTGCAACAGATTCTTATTTCTTGTGTTGCGGCCGTGGATGTCTGATGGTATGATAAACCTGTCGCTCAAGTACGATGGAGCTAGACCTTTGAGGCACCAAAAAGCCATAGCAGCATCTCTTAATCTGACGCACTGGGAGCCAGTCCAACTGTTCCAAAGCTGGCGTCATATGATCGTATTTCTTAATGTTAGTTACCAGGCGTGCGGCAAAGTTTTGCACGTTATGTAATTTTGTGATGTTCTTCTTTGACGTGTTACACCATACAGATGGTCAATAATTCAGCCTACAAAAAGCTAAAGCATTTACAATTTTTATCAGAGACCGCTCATAAAGGATTTGTTTCACTCGATTTATCTTACAAAGGCTGGCAGTGTATTTTGACACAACTTCGGTGACATGCTCATTATAATTTGGAGTAGAGTACAATATTTTCCCGAGATCTCTGGCCGGAGGTACTGGCATAACCTCTTTCCCATGGAGAGTTAAATGGAAGTCTTCTGGTATTTTTATTTAGCAACTGACGTGTTCCTTGAAGTTTTGTCTTATCCATCTAACCAGGATGGTCTGCTGTTATTTTCAGTAGGAGGGTCTCGGAAAACGAAAATCGAATGCTGCGCTTTGTGGTGTATCTTCTGAAAAACCAGTGGCCTTTTAGGTCTCTGAAAATCCAGCCCCAGCTATCGACAGTTGTCGATGAACTTATTCCTTTTTGTGCTTTCTGTGACGTTCTTTCCAAAAAACATCGTAACAAATTGGGGAGATTGACCAAAAGCGTTTTCCTCCCAAACCTTTCCAACAAGATGGTCTGTTGGAGCAATCTCAATAAATAGTAGTAGATATTTTATTCTGATTAAAATCGCAGCCAAAAGCTGAATTAGATTAATCGTTACAATAGTAAAATCTAATAAAAGTATGAGAAAAGTATAAGAAAAATGTACACAGATTAACTACAATTACTATATATGAATGTATTCATGATCTCTTCGTCTTAGCCAGAGGAACATTGAATTTCCTCTTTCGTCTCAAATTGAGTTCACAGTTGTTCTGGGGAGGCAGGAGCTTATACAGTTTATGGTCTGAGTTACAGGTGATGGAATCAAGAAGCTTAGTTGTGATAGACTGCCTGCGTTGGGAGAGCGTCTCCAAGTTAGCTTGATTTAATGCATCGAAAAAAATAATTCGCATGGCACGTTTCTGTAGCTTTTCTAACTCAACAGATAAATATGCAGGAAGCGCCTCGTAAAACACCGGGCATGCGTATTGCATTACTGGGCGGATACAAGTCCTGTAAAAGATTAGCAGATCTTTGGTGGGAATATTCGCTCTCTTCAGTTGTTTAAGAAAATATAATCGACTTGCAACTTTTTTACTTATTTCAGCAACATGACAGTTCCATCATGTGTGATGGTATTATCTCGTAGTAGTGATAATAAAAATGATAAATAAAAATAGCCACATACAGAAAGCAACTTTAAATTTAAATAAATAATAATAACATTAATAATGATAATAACAATAGTATTAAAATAATTTATTCAGTCCATTCGGTCTCTCAGGAATAAAAAAGTAGAGTTCTTTTGGCCCCAGTGTTCGTTTACGGATATCTGGATAATTTGACTTCACAAACCTCACCCATGCACACAAGCCTTAATGCAACAACACTGATGTTCCTCATGCGCCTCGCGTCCAATATCAATGGCAGGCTGTTTTATCCCTCCACGCCGGACGCACCAATTGGGGCGACAATTTCAGCGAAATCGAACGCTTCAATATTAGAGTTAAACCGTCTTTCCACGAAACTTCTCACTGCCAACCACAACAAAAACCATTCCACCGCACACAATAACAACCGGCGGCAGAATTATTGCCATGAGTGGAACCGTAACGGCTCCTGCAGCAGCTCGCCTCAACAACAGGGTGCAGAACATATTTGTGCATACTGCAAACTTCCGGAGTTTGCCTAACTCTCCTTCGTTCCGCAGATTTCGTAGACCCTATCTTAGCTAAGGGCCCTGGCTGTTACCTTTTCAAGAAAGACTTGGAACGCCCATACAGGCAAATCCCCGTAGACCTAAAGGACTACATCTTTCTTGGTTATCGCTGGCAGGATTTATTACACTGTAAAATGAAAAGAGCCAAATTGACCCCAAAAGCCAAATTGGCCCCAATTTCTCGAGGTCCAGTTTGGCCCATCAAGGTTCGTTTTGGACTATTTGAGCCAAAACGGGCGGGACAGGTACCATTTCGACCCCTCCAAAATCTGAATTGGCCCCTATGAATTCTACTTTGGAACTTTTTCTCAATTTGGCCGTTCCAAGAGCCAAGTAGGATTGACCAATTTGGCCCCAACGAGGAGCAATTTTTGAAGAAAAAAGAAAATATAAATATAATTTTCTTTTTTCGACCATATTTCGTTCCCTATACTATTCCTTATAAAGTGTTCAAATTTTCAACGGTTCCTCTCGTTACTGAACACTGAGTCACACAACGAATTAATCGTTGGCTTTTTCTCGAGACGTGAGCGTGAGCTGCCTGTGATGGCATTAGTCGAACCTAGACCACGTGCGTTGGAAACAATAATGAATTATAGCAGCGAATTCGTCACTGAAGAGGCTGTTTCTTGGCTACAGTCGCATGGAATGAGACTTAAGAAAGGAAAGGTAAGCAAAAGAAATTTCTTAACAACGTATTTTACTGCAACTTTACATTCACAAACTCGACCGCTCCATTGATCTTTGTTCGTATCTTATCTTGCAGAAAAAGACAGTTGCGATGGCCAAGATCTCCTTGCCATCGCCCAAGATGCAGACGTACCAAGGCACTACATCCCTATTATAAAAGAGCGTCTAAAGCTCAAGAAATTGATTGCAATGAACGTTGAACCTAGAGATGACACGAGTTCTTCGTCGGTACGATAATTAATTTTCCCACCAGAGAATTTGACGCATGAATGGTTCGCCTCTTCTCCCGAGTCTTGTTGAGTCTCAGCGGTTTCGCAACTAAAGTCACGTGATCAAATTTTGGCGCCGAGAGATAGAGACGGTTACAGTTCGAACACTGCATTTGCGCAAGATGGATTTAACTTATTTCAAGATTCTCTGATTTTAGGATCTCTCACTCTGAATTCTTAATCTTTTTCTTGAAAAGATGAACTGATATTTTTATGTCTATGTCTTTGTTTGTATCCACTTAAGCAGATTTTCTGGCTCTCACTCTTCCAGCGTGCAGAATCAAGTCCTTCGAGTAATGCACCTATCATCGGCCATCCCCGGGGGGGGGGGACCCCGGGCAAGGGTGGGGACTTTGTAAAGGACCCTGTCAAAGTTCTTATTTTCCCCCTCCTAGGTGGGGACACAGAGGAATCAAAGTTCCCCTCCCTGAGGGGAATCACCTTGAGCAGCTTGAAACCTGACAAGAAAACAGTACTTTATACCCTTTGTAAGATCCAAGTGTAACATTTTTTCGTCCATTTGTTTAGTCTTTTTTTTTTGGTGTTAATTTAGGTGTTTATCTCTTTCTGTTAGTTTCCGTGCCCTCGTTAGCGTTTCCGTGCTGTTTCATCCTCATTAGCGCCTTTCTATAGTTTTATTTTCTGCATGTTCTAGCGTATTTTCATATCGTAATTTGTCAGTACAGTTTGTGAGTTCAGTTTGGTCCGCGCTTAGCGCAGTTCTGTTCAGTTTGTTTCTAGCCTCTTCGCGTTTTTCGCAGTCCTCTTTTCAGAAGTTTTCTCTGGCCAAAACAATGAAAGTGTACTTCACAGTCCTCGTTTTGCAGTTTTGTTATTTCTTTACTCTAATTTACCTTGTAACTTTTTTGCTTTTTTACCGTTTTAGTTTCAACCCACACTCTTAGTACCAAGCACGCCGACTCCAATAAATCTTTTTCTTTTTATTTGGTTTGTGGTGTTATAATTCAAGGCCAGAAGTCTTGCAGGTTTATTGCAGTTTCACCCTTAACGAAATGTCATGTTTTAATAGTGCTTACATGTTCGTAACAATGCAAATTTACAATACCTGCGCCATTTGCCGAGGTCGCCATCGCAAACACGAGGAGAAAGGTGGACCACGTTCTTCTGCACAGCGGTCTTCATATTTCTTCATTTAAGACAACTTGAAACTGACCTGTTTCGTTTGCAAAGTCCCCTGTTTTCCCCGCGGTGCAAGGCTTTTGGAAAACAAACCTCCCTCATTTCCCCCGCCTCCAGGGTAAGTTAATCGTTCAAATCCCCGTATAAGTCCCCATTCAACGTTGAATTTGCCCGGGGTCCCCCCCCCCAGGGGATGGCCGATGATAGATGCATAAGACGGTTCAAACGTCGATTGATGATTCAGATAACATCAGCGATTATGAAAATTTAGAGGTGACATTGGCACCGAAAGAAAAGGGTAAATCGCCCAAGGATCTCTGTTTTACGGACGAGGCGACAGAACTGAGCACTGTCTAAGTAAGTTCTTGTATATTAAACTTAGCAGGATGGTGAAGAGTACATTATCGATTACTTTCTTTCGATTATATCCTAAAGGAAAACACACAAGGTGCCAGTTGGTCAGTTAAAGATGACAAATCTCGGGGATTGCACCTACAAAAATGGCGAGATTTGCTTTATTTTTATTGAAATATATTAGATATGTATTTACTTGCACCATGCATAAAACAAAGTAAACCCAATTTTTAAATCTGGTAAATTAAAAAATTAGTGAATTGATAGGATGTTATCAGACAGTTTAATTTTTTTGAAAACAAATATTTACCTACAGGTTCCTCCTGAATGGCTTTCAAAATTCCAACTACCATCGAGGGTAAGAAACTTTTCTTTGTTTTGTTTTTTAAGTCTACAAGCAATCCTTATTTATTCATGAATACTGAACTAAAACTGAAGTGCATAGAGGTACGATTTCTTTTCTTGATAAGTACATATGCAGTTTGGTGAAAATACATCATTAACGATCACCATTATTGTGTTTTACTTCTTATGCACAGTTTGCTTACAAATATTTTGCAACTTTGTAGTTGCAAAAATTTACTGTTCTCCAACGACAAATTAATTTGCTCATTTGTTTGTTTTTTACTGGGATACCTGTGGTAGCCCAGTCATAAAATGCCTTTGTTTTTTTGTCGTCTTTTTTTTTTGTTTTTTTACTGGGATACCTGTGGTAGCCCAGTCATAAAATGCCTTTGTTTTTTTGTCGTCTTTTTTTTTTTTTTTTTTCCTCCGCCACAAAATGGAAAAATTGCGCAATAGTACCCAGAGGTCATTGGGCCCTCAACACCATGACAACTAACTGTGATCCAATGAGGTGTGAGGTGTTCACATACTGATCACGCGTGTTATCCCTCAACACCATGACAACTAACTGTGATCCAATGAGGTGTTCACATGCTGATCACGCGTGTTATCTTGATGATGATTGACGTTGTCATGCACAGACAGGGCCGGGTCACATGACGAACACGAGATTTTGCTTATAAAACTCTTTGGTCAGTTGTTTTGTATTTCAACGTATTTGGATTGCGATCTCCTGGAGCATCACGGCGCAAACGTGCAAAATACTTACAGACGCATATACAAGTCGTATTAATCGCGGCTAATCCACACTGAAAGATGTTATTGAGCGGTAATTTTGGAACGGATTGAGTCGCGAACGCTTGAAAGCCATGAAAGCCTTGAATGCCTTGCATGCTAAGTATGCCAATGTCTTAGTTGAAAAACGTTCACTTGTTGTAAAAAGCAAAATCTGAAATCTGAAACCAAACTGCATATACTCTATGCAATCTATTGAACAACGCTACTACCGTGAGACTGAAGAACATAACTATAAGGGATGCAAGCTGCTTGTAAAGAAAGACGACATGTTGGATTCACTTGATGGCAAGGAACGTAGCTACGATAACAGTACGAATGGTATTAATTTCACGATCAGAAAGGTGAATCTTATGTTTGTTTTCATTGTAGTTGCATGGATATTCTTTTTTAATAAATACGTGATCCAAAACCCTGTGTTTTTTTGTGTATAATGTTATTATGTTAAATATTGTTTACGCAATTGTCTTGTCACAAGCGGCCCAAGCTCACGTCTCGAGAAAAAGCCAACGATTAATTCATGAACGCGTCACGCGTTGTGTGACTCGGTCTTAAGTTACGAGAGGAACTGCACGTTATAAGGAATAGTACAGGGAACGAAGTATGGTCGATTTACAACGATACATATTTCGAAATATGAACATTTTTCTCGTAAAATCAATAAAACTTACTCATAACCTGTGTATCCGTTGTATTTTCTGACGATTTCTGCCGTTTTAAGCTTGCTTTACCATCACTGTTATTCACGTCATCTACTTTTATTATGTTGGTAAAATCTGTACAGACATCACACCAACCAACTCGCGCGCAAAGTAAGAAGACTTTGTTTTTTTTTTAAGAGGGCACGGTAACGAATCCTGCAATCTGATTGGTTCTTTACCCGGTCAGTATTTTCCTATCTCTGCCCACGGGCCACGGTAACGCTTTCGTGAATCGCCGAGTACATTCCAAATTTCGTTGCCATTTTTCATAAATATATCTCGTTTTTCCGGCTGGGCAGTATTTTTAAGCAAACAAGTCGGTTACTACCTCAAGCCGATAAATAACTTATGAATCCTCTCTTTTCTCTCTCTCAAATCACTTTGATTGACAGGAAAAATTGGTTTCAGAATGAATTTTTACAAACAGTAGCGTCATTCTTATATTAATATTTAGCTATTTATTAGAGAGTAGTAGAGAGAGTGAGCTAGTTTAGAGATAGAATCTGTACATATCTTACATGTAAATTATTCGAATATCAATATTTTAGCTATTTACTATTTTATTTAAACTATTTTGTTGTGTCCTTACTTAGTGGTTTCATTACTGCTATTTTTCATAATTGACACATGAATAAAGTTATTATTATTATTATTATTACGTTGGTTGACAAGCGGCCTAAAAACCGTCTGCAGTTTATTTTAATCGTCCACAAAAAGTACCTAGAAAGTTAAAACGTGAGGTATTTCGTTACAGTTAAACAATGGAACTTTCATTCATTTAATACCTGAATTTTCTCAAGCAATTTGTTCGTAGTGAAAAGAGCGAGCGAAGTTTTAATTGAAGTTCTACAACAAATATACACTCTCGGTGAGTCTTTCCAGGTCCATTCAATTTGGACATTTGTACCGTAAATTGCACGACAGAAACTGAAGGACTTTTTTGAGGAAAGGCCGCATTAAATCCCCTTGTGTCTTGTTGGAGTGTTCCATTCGAATTTAGTTTTTGTGAAGGAAAGACGAGGTTTACACACGCCATTGCAGCAAACAAACGAGCAAACTCTCACAACTTCAAAATAAAAAATTTGAATTTACTCACAATTACTTTCCTCGCTGTTTACTTAATGAACAGAGGTAAATCTTCGTACGCGAATGAATCGTCGATGAGACGATTTCTGCCGTTTTAAGCTTGCTTTACCATCACTGTTATTCACGTCATCTACTTTTATTACGTTGGTAAAATCTGTACAGACATCACACCAACCAAATCGCGCGCAAAGTAATAAGACTATATTGAAGGCTTGAAATAATATTGCGATCAATTTTCATCAAGAAATGGGCCAGGAATATTCCTCAATACTGCAAATAATCGTGAAGGCGGATCGCAGAAAAGCGATTGCGTGACGCTCGGTAAGCTGTAAGATGACATATTATTATATACCTGACGTAAAACCTCTTCAGATTCTTAGTCTGCATTTTGTACCCACTCTGCAGTCTGCAGTCTATATTTTGTATCCGGTCTGCAGTCTGCTGTCTGCATTTTGTACCAACAGGTATCTGTGACACCAATACAGTTTATTTTTGGTTACATTTATTCGCAAAACACACGTAATCTACCACAAAATACCTGTGAGTGAGGTAATTTGACATTTTCGTTCTTTCCCACATTAATATTCTTCTCTCCTTTTGTAAGAATGTAGACATCACTCACAATGTTTCAAGTAATCCACCCACCCTACAAAAAAGGAACTCTTGCATGCATACCATGCCTATGTTTTGAAATACGTCTATGCCCTTGGCCAGACTTGAGCGCACTATTTCAGTATACTAGTCCGACACCCGTAGTATCACTATACTTGATTCCAAGGATCCAGTACCATCCAGGTATCCCAGTTACCCTGCTCACAGGGTCTAGTTTGTTTTTTTCCTCCGCCACAAAATGGAAAAATTGCGCAATAGTACCCAGAGGTCATTGGGCCCTCAACACCATGACAACTAACTGTGATCCAATGAGGTGTTCACATGCTGATCACGCGTGCTATCTTGATGATGACTGACGTTGTCATGCACGGACAGGGCCGGGTCACATGACGAACACGAGATTTTTGCCCATAAAACTATTTTGTCAGTCGTTTTGTATTTCAACGTAATTGGATTACGATCATCTGGAGCTTTATGGGGCAAACGCTCAAAATACTTATAGACGCATACGCAATTCGTATTGTTCGCGGCCAATCCACACAAAAAGATGTTATTGAGCAGTAATTTTGGATCGGACAGAATCGCGAACGCTTGAAAGCCATGAAAGCATTGGATGCCTTGTATGTCTTGTATGCCAAGTATGCCAATGTCTTAGTTGAAAACGTAAACTCGTTGTAAAAAGCAAAATCGGAAATCTGAAACCAAACTGCATATACTCCATGCAATCTATTGAACAACACTACTACCGTGAGACTGAGGAACAAAATTCAAATGGATGCAAACTGCTGGTGAAGAAAGACGACATGTTGGATTCACTTGATGCCAGAGAACGTAGCTGCGATAACAGTGCGAATGGTAATTATTTCACGATCAGAAAGGTGTTGTGCGAACTCGACTGCCGCCACGTGTGTATTCGTTGTCTGCTAAGTCTTCTAAATATAAAGATGTTCATCGGCCCAGTGGCGTGACCGTGTAACGCAATATCACGACATCTTCCCCTTTTTACAAAGTTTATCTTCAAAAGTTAATTAATACTTAATGTTCGGTTTCGATCACTGTTCAAATCACATAAAATCGATAAAACATTGTTCTTCATTGAAATCATAAAAAGATAGAAACAGAACCCAACAACTATTTAGCGGCTCAATCATTCAATGTTCAGTTCATATGGTAATCCTGATGCCACAAAGGCGGTCGACGTCTGCGTTCTGATCGACGAGTTTCAATCCTTTGTGGCTCAAGCTCAGTTCCCATCTCATTTTCAGGTGGCATTCTCTCTGTTTTGGTCTCGCCATGGAACTCCGGTGGAGGAGGTCCTGGCTCTGTCAGATTTGGCGCCGGTTTGAGGGTAGACTCGGGCGGAGTTAGTTCTACCAGACTCATAGGTGGTGCTGTTTCCGGGGTCAGGCGCAGTTGCCGACGGTTGCGTCGGTATCGCCTGCCGCAAACTTCAACTTCATAAGACCTGTTCCCCAAGGCTTTCATGCAGGTCCCCAGACTCCATTCCTCCCTTCCGGGAAGCCGCATCCTGATGGCCTGTCCACACTTTAGTGCCTCTAAAGGGCGAAACTTTTTGTTGTATTGTTGAGCTTGTCTTTTCTTGCGCTCAGCTAATTTGGTGGCTGTTTCCTGGTGTGATGGCTGCCGCAGGAGCGTTTCATGGGTTGGTAAGAAAGTGCGTGTGCGGCGTCCCATCAGTCTCTGTACGGGTGATGTTCCTAGACCCTCTGTTGGGGTGTTGCGCCAATCAAGAAGGGCTAACAGCGGGTCTTGCCCATCCGCTTTCGCTTTCGTCATCAAGTTCTTGCAGGTCTTCACGGCATTCTCGGCGCGGCCATTTGACTGGGGGTAACGGGGGCTCGAAGTTCTATGTTCAAACTGCCATTCTCTCACGAATGCACTGAACACCGATGACGTAAACTGAGGTCCGTTGTCGGTAATAAGCACGTCTGGTATCCCATGGCGGGCGAATTGTACTTTACACGCAGCTATCACGCTAGCAGATGTGGCCACCTTAACCTCCTGGACTTCAAAGAACCCACTCCAGTAGTCGACTAGGACAAAGAAATGTTGTTGCCCAAGGTCAAAAAAATCGGCACCTAGCATCGACCAGGGACGCGACGGGATCGGATACGGTTGCAATTCCTCGCGGCACTGATCTGGCTGGTACGACTGGCAGATTGAGCATTTGGAAACAAAGTCCTTTACTTCCGAATTCATGAGGGGCCAATAGAGGACCTCCCTAGCGCGACGTAAACACCCTTCGATTCCAATATGTGATCGGTGAATTTGCTTCAACATTTCTTTTCTCAGGGAAGGGGGTACCAGCAATCGCTCCCCCAGGAATACTAGTCCCTTGTCTTCTATAAGCTCACTTCGTTTGTCATAGTAAGGCGTCAGCTCAGGGGTACAGGACTTCCTTGACACTGGCCATTCACCCTTGATTGCTCCGATTAGCTTTTGCATCACTGGGTCCCTGGCAATCTCGTTTCTGAATTCAGCGAGCCTGTATGGTGCAATCGAGAGGTTTTCTGAATGATCTATCTCGGCAAGTGTACAGATCAGACTTGTATCGTGCTTGGAGGCTTCGGTGGTGTTGCGGTATGCTCGACTCAGTGCATCTGATACCCACATAAGTTCCCCTTTTTTATACTGCACATCCAGGGAGTAATTCTGAAGGGCCATCAGCATTCTCTGGAGTCTCTTTGGTGAGTTGTGTATTGGCTTGGTAAAAACTGCCCTTAGTGGTTCGTGGTCAGACTCGATGTGTACAACTTCGCGTCCCAGTATGTATTGATTGAACTTGTCGGTTGACCACACTATGGCGAGGAGCTCTTTCTCGATTTGAGCGTAACGCGTTTCGGTGTCGGTCAGAGCTCGCGAGGCAAAGGCAACGGGCTGACCCTTTTGCATCAGTACTGCACCTAGACCCGTTATGCTGGCATCGCATTGGATTGTCACTTCTTCAGTAACATCATAGTATTTCAGTACCGGGGCCTTGGCCAAGTATTCTTTGACTGTGGTAAATGCTTTCTCATGCTGTGCAAGCCAACACCACTCGACGTCCTTGTCCTCAAGCCTTCGCAAAGGTTCTGTCATGTCGGACAGGAGTGGCAAGAATTTGGCCAGATAATTGACCATCCCCAAAAACCTCTTCAGGCCTTTCACATCAGTCGGCGGTGGCATATCCAAAATAGCTTCAACTTTGGCTGGGTCTGCCTTTAGACCATCAGGAGTCAAGAGGTGGCCCATGAAACGCACTTCGGTTTGAGATCTTTTCAGCTTGAGTTTGTTGAGCTTGAGGTTCCACTCCCGGCATTTCTTGAAGAACGCACGTTCGTTCTTTTCAAGGCTCGAGTTGACCTCTGCGTCAGTTTCGCCAAATCCAGCGATGAGGAAGTCGTCAGCGATAACTTCAACTCCTTCTAAATTTTCTACGAATTCATGCATGCGTCGCTGCCAAACTTCAGGCGCACTTGAGATACCAAAAGGCATGCGGGCCCATCTATAACGCCCAAAAGGCGTATTGAACGTTGTCAGGAAACTAGAAGCATCGTCTAAGAGGATTTGGTGGAAACCATCCTTGGCGTCACAAAGAGTAAATTTCTTGGCACCTGTTAAGCGGGAGGCCACTTCATCGATAGTCGGCAACTGGTAATGCTCTCGCCGAATGGCACGATTTAAATCTCTCGGGTCAATACAGATGCGTACTTTGTTTGGCTTCACTATGGCCAACATGCTGGATACCCACTGCGTCGGTTCTGTTACTGGAATAATAACTTTACGATCAACAAGTTCGTCCAGCTTGTTTTTGATGCATGGACGCAAGGCTACTGGCACTCGCCTCGGTGCGTGGACAACTGGTTGCGCCTGTTCGTCTATGGCTATTTTGTATGTTCCCGGTAGGGCCCCTAATCCGTCGAATACGTCCTCATACTCTTCGAGCAAGGAGGCTTTGGGACACTTGACGTGTAATGCTAGGACGTCACAATTATGCAAACTCACAAAGCCAAGATTGAGGCTGGTGTTCAATGATAAAATCGGTTGATAGTCTCCGTCTAAGATGTTAAACTCCATTGACCTCCGCTGTCCACGGGACCACACAGGCAGGGTAGCTTTACCAGCAATTTTGCGGCGATCCCCTGTGTACGAGACTATTTCCTTTTGGCATGGTTTGAGGCGATGAAGGAGGGTGTCCCCAGTGATTTGCTTGTATAATTGGGCCGGGAGAATGTCGCACTGCGACCCAGTATCTATTTGAAACTGGACTTCTGTCTTGGGATCTGGCCCATAAATGTGGAGTTTGACCACTGCCAATTTTTCCTGGCCTTTGCTCTTACTAGTAGTAGCACCAATGTAGTAGGGGTCGTTTCCCATGTCGACGGCTTCGTGGACCGCCGAAACTCTACTTTTCACTCCTCGGGGATTAGCGCGACATTTATTCGCAAAATGATTCATACTCCCACAGTTAAAACATGTTCTTCCATACGCGGGACAATGACGTCCATGCACCATTCCGCAATTTCCACATTCTTTAGACGGTCTTCTAAATGCTTGTGACTTAAGTTGTCGTTCTTCTTCAGGTTTTTCTGCCGATCCCGCCTTCCGTAACGCATGAACTGCAGTGTCTCCTCCAGCCATTAGCTTTACTTGCTGTTGGGTCTGTTCTGACGACTTAATAATGTCAACTGCTTGTAGGAGAGATAAATCATTCAAACGGAGAAGTCTCTCGCGGACGCGATCATCCCGTATGCCTAGCACGAGGCGGTCACGCAAAATTTCATCTGGTGTGATTGTATCGTGTGCACAGTTTTTTGCGATCGTTCGAAGCTCCGTAAGATACGTCGAGATGTTTTCGCCTGGTTCCTGGTTTCGGTTGTTGAACCTATAGCGTTCATATATGACCTGTGTCCTAGGAATGCAGAATTCGTCGAACTTCTTCAGGACTTGTGAAATGTCGTCTGCGTTTTCGTCTTCGTTCCAAATAAAGGTATCGTGGGCTCTGACGCCATCCTCGCCTATAATGCTTAGTAATGTCGACACACGAACTATGCCCTCTTGTTTATATACACCAGTAGCGATTTCGTAGCGCTGCCACGCTGCTTTCCACGATTTCCATGCGGTGGCTAAATTGTCGTCAAAATTAAGCGCTTTCGGCGGGGGCAAATTTGACGGGGGAATAAAAACTTGAGTCGGCGCTGGTGGCACAACTATGGATGCTTCAGCTGCTTCTGTCATCTTTAGGGGTGAACAGATCCCACTCCTGACACCATGTCACGATTCTGTGAACTCAAAAGGGTTGTTTATTGTGCGAACTCGACTGCCGCCACGTGTGTATTCGTTGTCTGCTAAGTCTTCTAAATATACAGATGTTCATCGGCCCAGTGGCGTGACCGTGTAACGCAATATCACGACAGAACGCGTCACGCGTTGTGTGACTCAGAGTAAGTTATTCTAGGAACCGTTGAAAATTTGAACACGTTATAAGGAATAGTATAGGGAACGAAATATGGTCGATTTACAACGATAAATGTTTCGAAATATGAAGATTTTTCTCGAAAAATCAATAAAACTTACTCATACCCTGTGTATCCGTTGTAGTTTCTGGCGATTGTTGCCGTTTTAAGCCTGCTTTACCATCACTATTATTCACGTCATCTACTTTTATTACATTGGTAAAATCTGTACAGACATCACACCAACCAACTCGCGCGCAAAGTAAGAAGACTATGTTGAAGGCTTGAAATTATATTACGATCGATTTTCATCAAGAAATGGGCCAGGAATTTTCTACAATAGTGCAAATAATCGTGAAGGCTGATCGCGGAAAAGCGAATGCGTGACGCTCGGTAAGCTGTAAGATGACATGTTATTATATACCAGACGTAAAAACTCTTCAGATTCTCAGTCAGCATTTTTTACCCACTCTGCAGTCTATATTTTGTAGCCGGTCTGCAGTCTGCTGTCTACATTTTGTACTAACAGGTATCCGTGGCACAAATACAGTTTATTTTTGGTTACATTTATTCGCACAACACACATAATCTACCACAAAATACCTGTGTGTGAGGTAATTCGACATTTTCATTCTTTCCCGCGTTAATAATCTTCTTTCCTTTGGTAAGAATGTAGACCACTTACAATGTTTCAAGTAATCCACCCACCCTAGAAAAAATATATCTTGCATGCATAGCATGCCTATGTTTTAAGACAGGTGTATGCCCTTGGCCAGACTTGAGCTCACTATTTCAGTATACTAGTCCGACACGCGTAGTATCACTACACTTGATTCCACGGATCCAGTACCATCCAGGTATCCCAGTTACCCTGCTCACAGGGTCTAGTTTGTACAGTTCTCTGCCTCAGTAGAGTTGGATACCCAGAAGGGATATCTCATCAGCAGCCTAAAGTACTCTGAGCAACAGTGGATTGCAAAAAAAAAATTATTGCAGAGTATCCTTGTATGGTTAGCAGGATACTAGACTAAGTTGACTTGGAAACTGAATGGATTGGTATGGTCTAAATATCTATTGCTTCACCTCTTCTGCTTGCAGTGAAAAGAGACAATTTTGTGGTGCTGAATCTCTTGCCTTAAACTAAAAAGTTGCAAAATAATCACTCTCACCTTTTAAGTTCATGACCTTTGTTCTTGTGTGTTTGTCATCACATGCATTTAATGAAGTTGTGACCATTTTGGAGGTACAAGTCCAAAAAACTGCTACTTTGGTACTAAGATGAACAGCTAAAATTTCTGAGCCCATTTGCCAATGAAGTCCAGATACAAAGTTTCAAGAACTTTGGGGTTGTATTAATTTTGCCTTTTTGTTTAGTTTTTTTGATTTTGCAAATTTTTTAAAATATTCCTGTTGTCAAACCATTAGATAAATATTGGACATAGAATAGCTGATTTTTTTCAGATATTTTGGGAGTCATACATTAGTTTTTCAAGTCTTGAATGGGAGACAAATTACACACATTGAGCTAAACTTCCACTTCCATTTCTGGTGTTTTAGCTTATAGTTTTAGAAAAACAATATATATATATATATATATATGTAAATGTGGGGGTAGAGTCTACCTTGGCATAAAGTGCTCAATGCTGTAGTACCAGAGCTAAGTATACATAAGTTAAAGAATTAAAGAGGACACATCAATTCTCTGTGACTCTGAATTTCGCACCTAAGTGCTTGTCAGACAGAACTTTTCTGTCTGACAAGCGCTTAGGCACAAAACTCAGTCACAGAGAATTGATGCGTCCTCTTTAATTCTTTAACTTAAGTGTGTATATATATATTCTTTTTTTTTCTGGCTACAGGCACTTTTTGCACTTTGGCTTGATTTTAATGTGGTTGTAAAACTTGTTTTTATTGCATAGAGTAGCTGATGTTGATTTAGCAATCAGAGATTATGTCCAGCACAAATTTTAATTGTTGGAGATCTTCAATACATCAATCACCTGAATATAGTAACAGAGGGAAGTGTAATTTGTCACTTCTCACAAGAAAAGATTCTTGATGCTCTCATTGGGTTACTTGGCTCATTTATATTTTCTTACAATCGGTCAAAGGCAATTTTGACTTTTTTAGAGCAAGCATTGCTTGAAATTGGGCACAGGCAGACTCTTGTCACTGTTTCCTCTATTTTCAATGACTTGGCAAATGCCTGCAGTAGTACTTGCTGATAGTTTATATTTTGATAATATCTAAAGTAGCAATATGAGTGCATGTATTCTCACATCCACTGGAAGAATACTCTTTGCTGCTCTAAGGCTTTTTGTTTTTCATGTGCACAAATCAAACAAGATCTATATTCTTGTGCAGGAACTGGACCATTTGTTGCCTCTGTCTTATTTTGATAATTTTCTGTACTTTAAATCAGTCTTAATTATAAGCTGCTTTACATTACCACATTTGCTAAGTCATTGAAAAGGGAAGCTTTACTCACAAGTGTCTCTTGGGTGTAATTTCTTGCAATGCTTGCACTGTTAAGAAGTATACTGATTTAGGGAAGAGATCTATTTTAGAAAATGGTTGAATTAATGTTAAATATGTATGTATGCTATATTCTTTCACAAGATGTTTCAAAGTTTGTCTGTTTTATACCACAATTAAGATTCTTAATAACTGTAAAATCAGGTAGCATAAAAGGTTTTTACATAAACAATATCTAGAACCTAATAAATGAGTGTTGGAAAGATAAAGTATGTGGTGTATTTTCATTATTTGAATGTAAGGGGGAAAATCAGCATAGAGAGGAAAGAGCCCTCTACTTCTGAAGTGGCCCACATTGGAGCTGAATTGGCTCTTTTTAAAGGGGCCATTTGTGAGAGGGCTGAAATTTCGGGGGCTGTTTTGGCCCCTATAAATTTCAAAGTGGCCTCTGTATTTTTCAAATTCACCCTTCACATGGTCCAATTTGGCCCCTACAACGGGGTCAATTCAGCCCCAAAATTGGTGCCAAAAACAGCCTCATTTCAATGGGGCTGAATTGACCCTAAGCGAGTTCCAAACTGGACTCACTCGTTTTGGCCTCATTTTTGGGGCCAAATCAACTCTTTTAATTTTACAGTGTACATTTCGAGTTTGTTCTCCGTTTGGCCTCCGCGCGGCGACCCTCGCACTACCAATACTACCGCTCACTTCTTCCGTACATCGTTTCACTTTGATCGTGTGAATTATAATGACGACTTTCGAGGCGTCGAGGCGTCCTATGATGAAGCGGTAGTGGCTTTCACGCACCTTGGACAACTTTTCACCAACCTGGATCTCGAATCCTCACCGACAAAGGACTGTCTTCCCTCTACTAGAATGATCTTCCTTGGTCTCACCTACGAAACCGTTGTTGTGACACTGGAAAAGTTACACCAAACTTCACAGCTTCTCTGCTATTGGCTCAGCTCGTAACGGGTTTCCAAGTTTGACATAAGTTTTTCGACCAACAGACATTTAAAACGCGACCCATTCACGTGAGATGGTCCAAATCTTGTATTATTTCTAAAAGAATACACGGTATGCAGAATCGTTGAGGAAAGAATGAAAGGAAAAGTGATGATTCTCGAAAGGAAAATATTAACTAAATGTAAACACTGGGCCAAATAGGTAGTGAAAAGCGTAACCTACTGGTGACTGATGAGATAAAAAGTAACTCTAACAGTGGTGGAAGCTGATATTACACCTTTTGCTGATCATTTACGCAAAATGTACATTCATTAACGTCAACAGTTGAAACTATACGGCAAATATACATTCATTAGCGCTTCCATGAAATTCATGAACGCGAACGAACTTTCAATAACGCTATTTGCATATGTATTAACATTTAATAGCATCAACGGATGAACAATTGCACCTTTGAACAATCAAACAGAACCAATATACTTTCAATCTCGCGTAATGGTTGATCGTTAACACCAATAGAAAATCAATAGCTCTTATCGGAGTTGAGCACGCGAAATCAGCGGTCTCCAGATGAGCTTACGCCAAAACGAGGCTATCGGGTCTAGCTCGCTCTAAAGTATAAGGAAGCAGAGAGGGAAATTAGTAGTAGCTTGGTATTTACCTAATATTTTCTCGAGTTTTTAGTTTCTTTATCCATGGTGAAACATTGCATAGCTTTTGGGTGTCAAAACCGAAGTTCCAAAGCGGAATGCAAGGACTTATCATGGCATTCGCTGCCGCTGTCAAACAAGAATTTGCTGGCACAATGGCTCGTGAAACTGCGTCTAGAGAACACTCCGGTAAACAAAAACTCTTATGTCTGTAGTCAGCATTTTTAAGCTAATTGCTTCATAAAACCAATGGGAGGACAAAGAATTCGCTTGAAGCCAGATTCCGTACCGACAAAGTTTATATTTACTGTTGAAAAACCAAAGAGGAAAGAGCCCGCTGATCGAGCAACGTTGAACACAAAGAAAACAAAAATAGAGAACTCGCAGCAGCATTCAGCCCCCGAACCGATAAACATTGAAAACACCGATTTTAAATCTGTTTCAGATGGTATGGAAACTGAACATCTCGAAAGTGAAGGTTTATTTCAAATTGTAGATGAAAACTGGGAACATCAACTTCAGTTAAAGAATGACGAAATCTCATGTTTACTTGAGAAATGGCAAACTAAGGAGCGCGAACTGAACAAAAAAATACAATAGTTGGATTCATTGTCTTTATCTTTTCTTTCAATAAAGTAAGACACGATATTCTGAATATTAAATGAAGGGACATCGTCCTTCGCGTCAACCAGCAAAACCCATTGTGCAGATCCAGGGAAATCACAATTGACGGTCGCCGTTTGCTCCAGTGGTTTACTTGCCGCCAAGTGTTGCCACTTCTCCGTAAAATTATTCTCCCAACCATTTTTTATATAACTGATGACCCTGCGGCAGGTAAAACAAATCTATATAGAACTTATGCTTCGATATTCCCTTCAAGCAATGGCAATAATTATAAGGGACAAAAAATATTGCAATCTGTGTACCTTTGAGATAACTCAGCCTTCGTTGCTTCAGACCGTGCACTACCATCTTTAGCCGTCCCTTTGCGGAATGACAACCATTCTTTGAGTCTTTCTTTAGTAATATGCCGTGGGCAATTACCACTTATCAACTGCACTTTCTCCTCAGCGGAAAAAAGGCCGCTTGTGGAAGATTTGTGGAACACTCTATAAGTTTTCCTCACTTTCTCACACAAATCTGATCGATGTTGACCCGATAGCCTCGCTTTGATGTTTACTCACAAGAATACCGCTGGATTGTTTGGGTAGCGTGCTCAACTCCGATAAGAGCTATTGCATAGTATGACAATCAATTGCGTACGCGCGAACAACTTGTCCCGTGAGGGATCTGGCACTAGGTTGAGGTATGCGCATTGGCAATTGCGGAAATGTTTATGCGAACAGCTTGTGCTTGAAATGTCGATGTTAAAACTAGCAAGAAATACTTGTAGGAAACGTCGTCGCATCCAATTTCATTTCGTAATTGGAATTTTCATTTTGTTTTCATTTGGCTTCGTCTACCGAAGATTGACAAATACTCCTTCCTTTGCTAACGGTTTGTCAAACCCCACCCAGACATTGAAAGACAATGAAACCGAGAAGGCTGAAATTAGATTTACCAAAGAAATAGAAGAGGATAGAAGCATTATTGCTTGCAAAGTTCCTAACGTAGATCCATTCCATCCGAGTGTGGTTAAGTTTATAAGGGATGTTGGAAAACTAAATTGCCAAGGACCGAGGTTTTCAAGTTATGACAACAACGTGCTTCGGATTGAAGGCCAAGGGCTTGTTTCTGCGCAGTACAGAAAGATTTTACGGGCTCCTGGAAACGACTTCAGTGTTGTGTTATCGGATCCTGTAAACATTCAAAACGAAACAAGCGATCAGAAAGGTAAGTTGCAAATGTCTGACCTAAGCTCACTCGCATCTATCTTGCTCTTCTCTAGGTACGCATCTGTGTCGCTTGATATTGAATCGATACAAAAATCTTGCAAGTAAATTAAAACAGGGCATATTGGAAACATTAGTAGATTTGGTAACTTGCAAGTACATGCTCATAAAAAACGACTTAAAACTGCTTGTCGATGTGTTGTGAAACCTTGTGAAAAATGAATAACGGTAAACAGCATGCATGGATCACGTAAGCCAAACTGACCTCAAAAGCGGAGCTTTATTTTTAATGTTAATAGCTTTTATTTCCTGAATGTTTTCGGTGTAATCGGTTACTGAGGAATATATGTCAATGTAAAAGATATTGTTGGTCTGATTCAACGGTTTTAAAGCTTCGCAAAACATTGATTGGTCATGGTACCGAATTAAAACAAGTGGTAACTAGTTGACCAAATCCCCATGCAATTTTGCTTAAGTCAAATTGCTTCTTTCCTCTTGGTTTTGGCGGGCAACCACATAGAGAGAAAATTGCTTCTTTGGCAAACTTTTCTTTCTGAAGAAAGTTTCTTTGTGAATGATTCACTGGTAGAAGTGAAAATTCGACGTTATAAATTCACAGAAGTGCATTTCTATTATCAACAATTGTCAATGAGTAGTAGCCAAGACAACCGGATTAGCAACTTCAAAACTTTTACGTGTTTGATTAAATAACCCTAAGGAAAGAGCTTTTGAAGCATAAATAACGAATCAGAAGATTATAGTTCTTTTCTTTACTTTTTCAGAATGCTAGAACAAAGGGCTTTCCGCTTGGATGGTTGATGTGAAAGCAAACCTTAAATTGTTGAGGGATTAATTCGCGTCGCCGCGACGCAAATTAATTCCTCCCTATTCCGGCAGAAAAGGATCTGCTTAATTTCTCCATTGTTAGTAGATATGTTTTTACTCTTTTCCGATAAAAGTTGGCAACGATCTCGGCGGCCATGTTAGTTAATGGCGATGCTATTGGGTTAAGTGCTTTGTTGCTAATTTAAGACCTCTAAGAGAATTTTAATTTTTTGAGGAAAAGTTTGCCAATCAGTGATGAAAACCTTTTGAAAACCTTGTGTGAACTTCAGATAGATTACACTCCAGGTTGAGCAACAAGACGTGTACAAAATAACACCTGCTGAAAGAATTTATTATGAATTCCTGATAAAGGAAACTGAAGCCGAGCTACTTTAAGTAGTTTTAAGAGGCTCATAATACTGACTTGTCAGAAGGGAGAGGAACGGGCAGTTAAATTTTAACTGCCCGTTCTTTTTCACCTTTATTATCCCCCTCCTCCCTAGTTTTTTCGGCCATTTCTCTCTTCTCCCTGATTTTTCCTCCCTCTCTCCCTGATTAGAGCTTTACGAGGTTTAAATCAGGTGACACTACACTGCAGTGCCTCGTTTCCATGTCTGAAAAGGAAAACATTTGAAACGCGTTTTTCTTCTTATTCAGCACGTGCAGTAGTACTTTATTTCTTTCCATACCGTTTGATTTTGTAACGTAAGCTTGAAGCTTTGATCTTACAATATCTATTAAAAATGCTTTACATAGGGCAGAATGGTTACTTATAACTACTTGCCAGATGAAATAGAATAACACAAGTACATTTATTAAACATTGTATTGTATCTACATTGTGTGAAAGTAATTTACAACTTACCACCTCACTTCCGGCTTTAAAGTCAGAGAATGTCGTGATAGCTTGCAGGAACTCGAACCTGCTTGCTGCTGCACTTACGTGTGGGCATGTTGCACTGGCCAATTTGTTCTGCCAGTTCATCGCCACTTTCGTCACTATCATTATTAGACCTATCGTGCCTATCATGATGTCCTATCGTGCGTGTTCAGTCAACAGTTTGCAGCTAACACAGAAATTTTGACTCGAAAACAAGTCCCAGACACTCTTCAAACTGATTTCTCTATGCTCTATGAGTTTGGGATCGCATTCTATCGCGTTGTTTTACAGCTTCAAGTGGTAAAACTCTTCGCAACTGTGTCTAAAGGCTCAGTCTCTCGAATAATCCTTAAAAATGATGTGTTTATTTTGTAACCTTCAACAACGAGGAACTATAGCTTGTTGGGCTACAGGGTAGGCAGTTAACAACACACACCATATCAAGCATAGCACGTAAATGTTGTAAATCATTGTCAGTGTTTCCATTTGCAATGTTTTCAGTGTGGATTTCCATGGCTTTCTTATACTTTGATCCACAATCAGAAGAGTTGAAAATCACAACTAATTTTCTGCACTGCATTTCTATGCTCGTGAATGATATGAAGTTGAAAATGGAAAGAGAAATTCCATATCAAAAAGCAACCAAGTATTATTTTGTTTATTAAATAAATACCACGGGCCTTAGATGACAAGAAAAGTCGACTCTATCAATGAATGAGCAAACCATCCTGGATTAAGAATGGTGAACGTTTTGCCATTCATTCCTCAAGCTGACAGAGTGATGCGAATGGCGAGTGACGTGAATGGCGAGTTTTTCTGCAGCTGACTGGTGATATCAAACACATGTAAAAAAATTATCGTAATTTTATACGTGTGCAGTTACTGCTTTTCTCGGCCGGGATTGGAAAACGTTTTAAAAACACAGCAGTTTATTGGACACATAATATTCTGTTCAGGAAGAGAGATTATATTCTGTGCTATCAGAGAAATAATATTATGTGGTATCGTCCTTACAAATTCTTCGATTAAGTAACCTATAATTTCTCCCCACAATTTTGCTGCTGAATCAAACAGTTATTTCATGAGAGTGGAAGAAATTGTCACCAACTTTAGAAGCATTTTGGTGCCATAAGGAATGTGTGGAAAACAGAAGGGAAAATATGCATACAGATGTTTGAGTACAAGGTGTTAATCAAAAGTCTATATTTTCGTTTATTTTTCAGGTAGTTTTCATGGTGAAGCAGCGGTGGATCACGACTTTATCCGAGTCGAGGTCGTGACGTCTTCGGGAGCCACGAAAAGTGACGTACACATGCACGTGTTTCCTAAACAGGAAGTTCTCAAAAGGGAACAGAAACCTGGCGGTATTCCACTAAATGTTGCGCTAGTTATGTTTGACTCTACTTCAACTGCTAACTTTAAACGAAAATTACCCAAAAGCTGGAAACATTTGACTACGAATTTAAACTCTATTGTTATGCGAGGTAAGTCCCATAAAACTCCATTTCACTTAATTTTACCCGCAAAAGATGTAATCGGTCTAAGGTCCCGCCTAATAGTTCACGGTTTACTAGCTCTCTGGCTAAAAACTTTATTGTGATGAATCTGCGTGCGAATCGATCGCTGTAGATTTTCTGGGTGACACAATATTTAACGCTTCAAATGGTAATGGCCCTGAGGATGGTAGTCCATTTTCCTAAGCTATTTCATCGTAGGGTTGAAAAGATAGAAATCGGCTCCGCTCTAAAAATAAAGAAAAGAAAGCCTTACCAGCTCGTCCATTTCCCCTACTTAACGGAAAAAGTAAAGCAAGTTGTACTTCTAGTAATCTAACACTATCACTGTGTTTTCAACGCCTTGGTGACTATAATTTATAAGAGTCCTTTCTTTCTACAATTTGTGATATCCCCTTATTCAGAGTGAAACGTTCCTTTTTTGTCTTGTCATTTGGTGACTATAAGCGTACGCGCAGCCATAGCTTTAAATCAGTCACGCCTTCCTTTCTGTGTGAAGCAAAGATCAGTTGAGTCTTCCTTGCTTTTTACCCAATTGACAGGTGAGACAATCGTAGGAGATGGCACCGCTTCCCAGCTGGTTGCAATGTTAACTGGTTTACCGGAGAAAAACCAACAGGATGCACGAAAAAGAAAAAGTTCATCGAAAACTGTCGACAGCTGGCGGTGGATTTTTAAAGATCTAAAAGAAAAAGGATACGCCACTTGTTTTTCAGAAGATTCACCAGGAACTGCAGCGTTCAATTATCGCTTAAACGGTTTCCGAGACCCTCCTACTGACCATTACGGCAGACCATTCTGGATGGAGGCAGACAAACTTTTGAGAGCACATTGTGTCAATAGCCGAGCATCTCACAATGTATCTTTTGAATATCTACTGAGTTTCTTCCGTAGATATAGGGATCGGCCGAGGTTTGCGTTCGCCTCGCACTGTGCAATTTCTCATGATGACATAAACACGATTGGCTACGTAGACGATGATCTAAAAATATTTCTCGATGAGTTTGAGAAAGAATCATTCTTAGATAATACAATGCTGATTATTTTCAGTGACCATGGAGCGCGCTTCTCAAATTTGAGGAAAACACTTCAAGGTAAACTCGAAGAAAGGCTTCCATTTATGTCAATCACTTTACCGAAATGGTTTCAAGTAAAGTACCCAGACCTCAACAATAATCTCGTTTACAATTCGCATATTCTTACATCACCGTTTGACGTTTATGCTACTCTACGTCACATTCTTTCATACCCACAGTATCCAAGCGGAATTATCACTGGTCAGAGCCTTTTTAGCCGAATTGAGAGGACAAATCGCACATGTGCAAGTACAGGTGTAGCAGATCATTATTGCCCTTGTCTTGACTTGGAAGCCGTGTCACTCGATGAGCCCGTTGTCAAAGAAATAGCAGCTTTTGTCTTAAAGCATATTAATGATCTGACGTCACAAACCGATGAACTATCAAAACTATGTCAGCGGTTGCAGTTGAAGGAAATAAAGAGCGCGTTTCGTGAGATGCCGAAGGAAGCCATGCAAAGATTTCAAAGGTCAAAGCACGCCGCAGATGACAGATGTGACAGCTGCGAAGCGCTGTTGGGCCAAAAGACTGAAAACACTCTCGTCAGGGACACCTTATATCAGATACAATTTACAACATCTCCGAACGAAGGATTTTACGAAGTTTCGGTTCGAATGAAGCAAGGTGTTCCTGAACTTACAGCGGAAATAAGTCGGATTGATGCTTATAAAAACCAGGCAGACTGTATCTCACACAATTTTCCTCTACTTCAGAAATACTGTTACTGTTCGACAATTTCTTCATCTAGGGTGAAATAATCATTTTGCTCTCTATGAAGACCTTGACTCAATAGAGTAAACTCGAAATCTTGGACTAAGGACGTATAGTAGATATTTTTAAGAAATAGCTGCCTTTCGAATGCGGAGATCACGCGTACGCAAATGACAGACGGTAAAAATCCGGCTGGGTTTTTTTTTTTCATTTCATGGTCAAATTGCACAGCTAGCCAATAGGAATGCGTAAAACCGTTATCGATTTTTATCTATGGTACACAAAGATCATTGCGTCACGATGCAAATATATATTAAGCCACTATGAGGCGGAAAGTGATAGAACTGGAAAATAGCGGAATTTGACTCGTGCAGGCGAGGTAAGATTTGGATTCAAGCGGCTAAATTTGACGAATTTTGCAAACGGAAATTCGATAGACCCGTGATACTATTTTGTGCTGTTTTTGTAGGCAATTTATACGTTAATTATTCTGCGGAGTTGGATGTTTACCATAATTGTGGACCTGGGCTTTTTAAATAAGAGAAACCTTGCAATGCTGCAAGACCAGTTATTACAAGTTCACGACCATGTTTAACCTGTAGCTTGCAGAGCAGGCGTAATTTTGACGAGCGAGTGCTCAGTATTTTCTTAACGAAAATTATGGCCGCCATCTTTGATTTTAATGGCAGCGGAAGGCTGGGGAGAGAAATAATTTGGTCCAAGGGGCGGTCGACGGTCAAAAATAAGGAGAGGGGTAAGGTGGGGGAGTTAAATTCTTGCCCTTTCCCCGCCCCCTACCCCCACCGTCCACTCTAACTCCAAAATAAACATGGCCAGTCGGGTAAACGACCGCGTGCTTATAACGTTATTTCGCGCTAGCTAATAGGACGCCTGCTCTTCAGGCTACTGACGGTTCAATTTTAGGTCTGACGGTAATAAGGAAGACGTTTCTTCAATGAGTTTTAGTTAATGTTATGTTTTTCATCGTTTGACATAAATTAAATCCGCAGGTGCATCTTCTGAAAAACCAGTGGCCTTTTAGATCTCTGAAAATCCAGCCCCAGCTATCGACAGTTGTCGATGAACTTATTCCTTTTTGTGCTTTCTGTGACGTTCTTTCCGAAAAACATCGTAACAAATTGAGGAGATTGACCAAAAGCGTTTTCCTCCCAAACCTTTCCAACAAGATGGTCTGTTGGAGCAATCTCAGCCATGTGTGATGGTATTATCTCGTAGTGGTGATAATAAAAATGATAAATAAAAATAGCCACATACAGATAGCAACTTTAAATTTAAATAAACAATAATAACATTAATAATAATGATAATGATAATAATAATAATAATAATATTAAAATAATTTATTCATTCCATTCGGTCTCTCAGGAATAAAAAACTAGAGATCTTTCGGTCACAGAGTTTGTTTACGGATATCTGGATATTTTGACTTCACAAACCCCACCCACACAAGCCTTAATGCAACAACACTGATGTCCCTCATGCGCCTCGCGTCCAAATATCAATGGCACGCTGTTTTATCCTTCCACGTCACACGTGCCAATTGGGGCGACAATTTCAGCGAAATCGAACGCTTCAATATTAGAGTTAAACCGTCTTCCCACGAAACTTCTCACTGCCAACCACAACAAAAACCATTCCACCGCACACAATAGCAACCGGCGGCAGAATTATTGCCATGAGTGGAACCGTAACGGCTCCTGCAGCAGCTCGTCTCAACAACAGGGTGCAGAACATATTTGTTCATACTGCAAACTTCCGGACTTTACCTTACTCTCCTTCGTTCCGCAGATTTCGTAGACCCTATCTTAGCTAAGGGCCCAGTTTGTTACCTTTTCAAGAGAGACTTGAAACGCGCATACAGGCAAATCCACGTAGACCCCAAGGACTACATCTTTCTTGGTTATCGCTGGCAGGATTTATTACATTTCGAGTTTGTTCTCCGTTTGGCCTCCGCGCGGCGACCCTCGCACTACCAACACTACCGCTCACTTCTTCCGTACATCGTTTCACTTTGATTGTGTAAATTATAATGACGACTTTCGAGGCGTCGAGGCTGGCGTCCTATGATGAAGCGGTACTGGCTTTCACGCACCTTGGACAACTTTACACCAACCTGGGTCTCGAATCCTCACCGACAAAGGACTGTCTTCCCTCTACTAGAATGATCTTCCTTGGTCTCACCTACGAAACCGTTGTTGTGACACTAGACAAGTTACACCAAACTTCACAGCTTCTCTGCTATTGGCTCAGCTCGTTACGGGTTTCCAAGTCTGACATAAGTTTTTCGACCAACAGACATTTAAAACGCGACCCATTCACGCGAGATGGTCCAAATCTTGTATTATTTCTGAAAGAATACACGGTACGCAGAATCGTTGAGGAAAGAATGAAAGGAAAAGTGATGATTCTGGAAAGGAAAAATATTAACTAAATATAAACACTGGGCCAAATAGGTAGTGAAAAGCGTAACCTACTGGTGACTGATGAGATAAAAAGTAACTCTAATAGTGGTGGAAGCTGATATTATCATAACTACACGTTTTGCCACGAAATGTAGATAAAAGGTGTTCTTCAAAATTTTCGCTCTTTTTGGGATATCTGCGGTTATGGTCGCATCCCCACACAGAGTAACGATCTCCTCAGCCCATCGTAGAACGAAGAAAGCTTTGCAAACGTTCGAGGCTTTTCTTGACTCTGTTTCCCGCCGAAGTTCAACAAACATTGATGACGCGCGAACAACTTGTCCCGTGAGGGATCTGGCACTAGGTTGAGGTATGCGCATTGGCGATTGCGGAAATGTTTATGCGAACAGCTTGTGCTTGAGATGTCGATGTTAAAACTAGCAAGAAATACTTGTAGGAAACGTCGTCGCATCCAATTTCATTTCGTAATTGGAATTTTCATTTTGTTTTCATTTGGCTTCGTGTACCGAAGATTGACGAATACTCCTTCCTTTGCTAACGGTTTGTCAAACCCCACCCAGACATTGAAAGACAATGAAACCGAGAAGTCTGAAATTAGATTTACCAAAGAAATAGAAGAGGATAGAAGCATTATTGCTTGCAAAGTTCCTAACGTAGATCCATTCCATCCGAGTGTGGTTAAGTTTATAAGGGATGTTGGAAAACTAAATTGCCAAGGACCGAGGTTTTCAAGTTATGACAACAACGTGCTTCGGATTGAAGGCCAAGGGCTTGTTTCTGCGCAGTACAGAAAGATTTTACGGGCTCCTGGAAACGACTTCAGTGTTGTGTTATCGGATCCTGTAAACATTCAAAACGAAACAAGCGATCAGAAAGGTAAGTTGCAAATGTCTGACCTAAGCTCACTCGCATCTATCTTGCTCTTCTCTAGGTACGCATCTGTGTCGCTTGATATTGAATCAATACAAAAATCTTGCAAATAAATTAAATCGTTTTTTATGAGCACGTACTTGCAAGTTACTAAATCTAATATGCTCTGTTTTAAAACTGCTTGTCGATGTGTTGCGAAACCTTGTGAAAATGAATAACGGTAAACAGCATGCATGGATTCTGTAGGCCAAACTGACCTCAAAAGCGGAGCTTTATTTTTAATGTTAATAGCTTTTATTTCCTGAATGTTTTCGGTGTAATCGATTACCGAGGAATATATGTCAATGTAAAAGATATTGTTGGTCTGATTCAACGGTTTTAAAGCTTCGCAAAACATCGATTGGTCATGGTAGTTTAAAAACAAGTGGTAACTAGTTGAACAAAGCCCCAAGCAATTGCTTAACTCAAATTACTTCTTTCCTCTTGGTTTTGGCGGACAACAACATAGAGAGAAAATTGCTTCTTTGGCAAGCTTTTCTTTCTGAAGAATCAACTAAGGACTGAGAATTTTTTCCGTGACTCACTGAGTCTTCAGCGAGGACCGCAAGAAATTTGCATTTTTGTCATGCAAAGGAACTTTCATAAATATAATTTGCGAAGAAGAACAATAACAGCCGGTGGAGTAATAAACCTTCTACAGTTGAATAGCCTACTTAACTAGAAAATTGTATCCATGAAAAAGTTTCTTTGTGAATGATTCACTGTTAGAAGTGAAAATTCGACTCAGTTATTAATTCACAAAGTTGCGCAACGTGGGAAATTTGCATTTTCTTTCACGCAGAGGCGCATTTCTATTATCAACAATCGTCAATGAGTAGTAACCAAAACAACCGGATTAGCAACTTCAAAACTTTTACGTGTTTGATTTAATAGCCCTGAGGAAAGAGCTTTTGAAGCACAAACAACGAATCAGAAGGTTATAGTTCTCTTCTTTACTTTTTCAGAATGCTAGAACAAGGGCTTTCCACTTGGATGGTTGATGTTAAATTGTTGAGGAATTAATTCGCGTCGCCGCGACGCGAATTAATTCCTCCCTATTCCGGCAGAATAGGATCTGCTTAAGTTCTCCATTGTTAGTAAATATGTTTTATGTACTTTATTTCTTTCCATACCGTTTGATTTTGTAACGTAAGCTTGAAGCTTTGATCTTACAACATTTATTAAAAATGCTTTACATAGGGCAGAATGGTTACTTATAACTACTTGCCAGATGAAATAGAATAACACAAGTACATTTATTAAACATTGTATTGTATCTACATTGTGTGAAAGTAATTTACAACTTACCACCTCACTTCCGGCTTTACAGTCAGAGAATGTCGTGATATCTTGCAGGAACTCGAACCTGCTTGCTGCTGCACTTACGTGTGGGCATGTTGCACTGGCCAATTTGTTCTGCCAGTTCATCGCCACTTTCGTCACTATCATTATTGGACCTATCGTGCCTATCATAATGTCCTGTCGTGCGTGTTCAGTCAACAGTTTGCAGCTAACACAGAAATTTTGACTCGAAAACAAGTCCCAGACACTCTTCAAACTTATTTCTCTATGCTCTATGAGTTTGGGATCGCATTCTATCGCGTTGTTTTACAGCTTCAAGTGGTAAAACTCATTGCAACTGTGCCTAAAGGCTCGGTCTCTCGAGTAATCCTCAAAAATGATGTAACCTTCAACAACGAGGAACAACATACACCATATCAAGCATAGCACGTAAATGTTGTAGATCATTGTCAGTGTTTCCATTTGTAAGGTTGTCATGTTTTAATGAAAGCACCAAAGCATGACTCACCACAGGCGGCCCAAGCTCCAGCTGTGAGATGATCATCTTGCACAATAACAGTTATGGCGGAATTATAAGAGTTTGTATGGGCATATTTACGACCGCCCTCAGGAATAAAAAAAAATACGTCAAATTCTCAAAAAAAATACCTCACCTTACTTCCACAGTGTATCATTTGTTATCTGACCGCTTACTTTGATGAAAAGAGCCCATTTTAGCGAGTTGTTCATTTCGACGTTTTCAACGTACATAAGAAAAGCCCAGGCGGCTCAAGCTCCAGCTGTGAGATGATCATCTTGCGCAATAACATATCAAACTCATTGGGTACAAATAGTCTTAACATGAATGTAGTGACCACGCCCACTTCAACACCCCACTCAAATCGAGTGTAATTTTCGAATGTTTTACCATCGTGTGGATTCTCTTCGGAAAAAGCACTCAATGTACCTCTGAAATATTAAACTATAATATTGTGGCTTTCTATTTCGCTAATTTTCTAACTTGAAGGTAAAGTTTTTCCCTCGTCATTTTTACCTTTTCTCCGAGCGGTTGCGTGAAATTAACAAGGCGTTTTTGATCAAAACACGACCGAGCGAAGGGTCTCTGGCGATATCTCTTTTACGCAGGCGCAAGTTAAAAATGTACCGCCAGAATCAAAAAGAGGAACAAATTTCCTTTGTTTTGATATGTAAAGTGTCAAACAAAAAGCAGATTTACCCTCGTCAAATGGCGTTTCAAAACAACTGTATCTTCCTCCGTTTGATCTTTTCCTGTTTTGTAAGCGTGAAAGCAGTAGGAGAGGGATCGGGAAACTCAGAAAGCGCTTCGGGAATTAATCTGCCATTTAAGCTTGTTTGCTGGTTTTTTCGTAAACTTCCTTGATTAATTTTTCGTTTCAGCTTACTAATCTATACTATTTCAAAGAAATTTAAAGACGAAGACGGAGAACCAAAAGTCGGTCCTTTCAACAATCGTAAACAAATTGTTTGAACAGTCAGGTATACGAGGTGTAATAATCAATAGCCGCATATCAGAAGTCTTCAGAAAGAAAGTATTCTGTCTTCAGAAAGCTGTCAAGAAAGCTAGTGATCGTGGTGGAAGGCAATTAAATACACTTCTTAGCAAGTTGGAAACGGGCCCTCGGTATCGATTTAATATCATATCGATCTCAATACCATACAGTTTTGTATCTTTTGTCCGTGGATTCGCCTTTCTAACGAGGGTGTATGTTGAGTATTCATTGCAAAATCGCTTTGTTTTTTTTTTATTTCCCTCTTTGGCTTGTCCGCCATTTTGAAAATTTCGCAACGGAGAGCATGCGCATTACGTGGGGTTAGTGGTTGCGTACACCTGGAACCGAGAAAAACAAATGTTCGTCGCACTGGGGAAAGAGTTTGATATGAGTCATGGCGGAATTATAAGAGTTTGTATGGGCATATTTACGACCGCCCTCAGGAATAAAAAAAAAAACGTCAAATTCTCAAAAAAAAATACCTCACCTTACTTCCACAGTGTATCATTTGTTATCTGACCGCTTACTTTGATGAAAAGAGCCCATTTTAGCGAGTTGTTCATTTCGACGTTTTCAACGTACATAAGAAAAGCCCAAGACTGAACACTCCATTTCCGAACGCCTGAGCCGAGAAGCGAAAAATCCAAGCTCAAAATGACCGGGCGACCACAAATCCAACGCAGAATCCAAGCAAATATACTATAATAAAATATGTAGACGCTACGTAAAAAGCGGTCAAAATCCAACGCGTGGTCGTCACCACTCGGCCAAGACTCCATACAGGGAAGGACATAAGATTGTTGATACCACAAGCGGAAGTCCTTACTACACAATTTTCACTGTTTTATTCATTCACTGGAAGGCTTTTTAAGTCTAAAAAAACACTCCTATCGCGTTTTTTAGAAGACGTTCTCCTCATGCTGGTTCTACCGTCTCCCTGACATTTTTTCTTTACTTTTCCATGACAAACAATAACTTTCTCCCTCCTCCCTATCCTTTTTTGGCCGTAGCTCGCTCGTGAATGATATCAAGTTGAAAATGGGAAGAGAAATTCCATATCAAAAAGCAACCATGTATTATTTTGTATATTAAATAAACACCACGGACCTTGGATGACAAGAAAAGTCGACTCTATCAATGAACGAGCAAACGATCCTGGATTAAGAATGGTGAACGTTTTGCCGTTCATTCCTCAAGCTGACAGAGTGATGCGAATGGCGAGTGACGTAAATGACGAGTTTTTCTGCAACTGACTGGTGATATCAAACACATGTAAAAAATTATCGTAATTTTACACGTGTGCAGTTACTGCTTTTCTCGGCCGGGATTGGAAATCCTTTTAAAAACACAGCAGTTTATAAGACACATAATATTCTGTACAGGAAGAGAGATTATATTCTGTACTAACAGAGAAATAATATTATGTGGTATCATCCTCACAAATTCTTCGAGTGAGTAGACTCTTATTTCTCCCCACAGTATCACTGCTGAATCAAACAATAATTTCATGAGAGTGGAAGAAATTGTCACCAACTTTAGAAGCATTTTGGTGCCATAAGGAATGTATGGAAAACAGAAGGGAAAATATGCATACAGATGTTTGAGTACAAGGTGTTAATCAAAAGTCTATATTTTCATTTATTTTTCAGGTAGTTTTCATGGTGAAGCAGCGGTGGATCACGACTTTATCCGAGTCGAGGTCGTGACGTCTTCGGGAGCCACGAAAAGTGACGTACATATGCACGTGTTTCCTAAACAGGAAGTTCTCAAAAGGGAACAGAAACCTGGCGGTATTCCACTAAATGTTGCGCTAGTTATGTTTGACTCTACTTCAACTGCTAACTTTAAACGAAAATTACCCAAAAGCTGGAAACATTTGACTACGAATTTAAACTCTATTGTTATGCGAGGTAAGTCTCATAAAACTCCATTTTACTTAATTTTACCCGCAAAGGATGTAATCGGTTATTAATACGCCTACCGATGCAAAAAAAAACAGCCGTGACTAGCCTCTTGCATTAGAGGTTATCCCAAAGAGCTTTAACATTTCAAAACACCCTGCTTCTCGAACTTACACCCCCGTTTATTGACTCGCCTTTTCTTCCTCGCCGGGAAAATAAGGCCGCTTCCATAACCCTCTCCGGAAATTTGCGATAACAGCAGCTTGTCGACTACTATTCTCTATTTATCTATTATCCGAAACATCCCTGCTGTTTCCCATTTATTGTTTTCCCGCTGGTACAACTATGGTTTCTCTCTCTACCCCAGTTAGTTCTTAGATGAAGTGTTTTCCAATTTCAGCAAGAAGTCATTGTTTTTTCCCAACATAGAAGGAAAATACTATCGCTGGTCTAAGGTCCCGCCTAATAGTTCACGATTTACTAGCTCTCTGGCTAAAAACTTGATAGTGATGAATCTTGCTGTAGATTTTCTGGGTGACATGTGGCTTCAAATGGTAATGGCCCTGAGGATGGTAGTCCATTTTCCTAGGCTCTAAAAATAAAGAAAAGAAAGCCTTACCAGCTCGTTCATTTCCCCTACTTAACGGAAAAAGTAAAGCAAGTTGTACTTCTAGTAATCTAACACTTTCACTGTATTTTCAACGCCTTGGTGACTATAATTTATAAGAGTCCTTTCTTTCTACAATTTGTGATATCCCCTTATTCAGAGTGAAACATTCCTTTTTTGTCTTGTCATTTGGTGACTATAAGCGTACGTGCAGCCATAGCTTTAAATCAGTCACGCCTTCCTTTCTGTGTGAAGCAAAGATCAGTTGAGTCTTCCTTGATTTTTACCCAATTGACAGGTGAGACAATCGTTGGAGATGGCACTACTGCCCAGCTGGCTGCAATGTTAACTGGTTTACCGGAGAAAAACCAACAGGAGGCACGAAAGAGAAAAAGTTCATCGAAAACTGTCGACAGCTGGCGGTGGATTTTTAAAGATCTAAAAGAAAAAGGATACGCCACTTGTTTTACAGAAGATTCACCAGGAACTGCAGCGTTCAATTATCGCTTAAACGGTTTCCGAGACCCTCCTACTGACCATTACGGCAGACCATTCTGGATGGAGGCAGACAAACTTTTGAGAGCACATTGTGTCAACAGCCGAGCATCTCACAATGTATCTTTTGAATATCTACTGAGTTTCTTCCGTAGATATAGGGATCGGCCGAGGTTTGCGTTCGCCTCACACGGTGCAATTTCTCATGATGACATAAACACGATTGGCTACGTAGACGATGATCTAAAAATATTTCTCGATGAGTTTGAGAAAGAATCATTCTTAGATAATACAATGCTGATTATTTTCAGTGACCATGGAGCGCGCTTCTCAAATTTGAGGAAAACACTTCAAGGTAAACTCGAAGAAAGGCTTCCATTTATGTCAATCACTTTACCGAAATGGTTTCAAGAAAAGTACCCAGACCTCAACAATAATCTCGTTTACAATTCGCATATTCTTACATCACCGTTTGACGTTTATGCTACTCTACGTCACATTCTTTCATACCCACAGTATCCAAGCGGAATTATCACTGGTCAGAGCCTTTTTAGCCGAATTGAGAGGACAAATCGCACATGTGCAAGTACAGGTGTAGCAGATCATTATTGCCCTTGTCTTGACTTGGAAGCCGTGTCACTCGATGAGCCCGTTGTCAAAGAAATAGCAGCTTTTGTCTTAAAGCATATTAATGATCTGACGTCACATACCGATGAATTATCAAAACTGTGTCAGCGGTTGCAGTTGAAGGAAATAAAGAGCGCGTTTCGTGAGATGCCGAAGGAAGCCCTGCAAAGATTTGAAAGGGCAAAGCACGCCGCAGATGACAGATGTGACGGCTGCGAAGCGCTGTTGGGCCAAAAGACTGAAAACACTCTCGTCAGGGACACTTTATATCAGATACAATTTACAACATCTCCGAACGAAGGATTTTACGAAGTTTCGGTTCGAATGAAGCAAGGTGTTCCTGAACTTACAGCGGAAATAAGTCGGATTGATGCTTATAAAAACCAGGCAGACTGTATCTCACACAATTTTCCTCTACTTCGGAAATACTGTTACTGTTCGACAATTTCTTCATCTAGGGTGAAATAATCAGTTTGCTCTCTGTGAAGACCTTGACTCAATAAAGTAAACTCAAAATCTTGGACTAGGGACGTATAGGAAATATTTTTTAAAAAATAGCTGCCTTTCGAATGCGGGGATCACACGTACGCATATGACAGACGGTAAAAATCCGGCTGGGTTTCTCTTTCCTTTCATGGACAAATTGCACAGCTAGCCAATAGGAATGCGTAAAATCGTTATCGATTTTTATCTATGGTAAACAAAGATCATTGCCTTACAATGGAAATATATATTGAGCCACCACGAGGCGAAGAGTGACAGAACTGGAAAATAGCGGAATTTGACTCGTGCAGGCGAAGTAAGATTTGGATTCAAGCGGTTAAATTTGACGAATTTTGCAAACGGAAATTCGATAGACCCGTGATACTATTTTGTGCTGTTTTTGTAGGCAATTTATACGTTAATTATTCTGCGGAGTTGGATGTTTACCATAATTGTGGACCTTGGCTTTTTAAATAAGAGAAACCTTGCAATGCTGCAAGACCAATTATTACAAGTTCACGACCATGTTTAACTAATAGCCTGCAGAGCAGGCGTAATTTTGACGAGCGAGTGCTCAGTATTTTCTTGACGAAAATTATGGCCGCCATCTTTGATTTTAATGGCAGCGGAAGGCTGGGGAGAGAAATAATTTGGACCAAGGGGGTGGTCGACGGTCAAAAATAAGGAGAGGGGTAGGATGGGGGAGTGAAAATTCTTGCCCTCCCCCCCTACCCCCACCGTCCACTCTAACTCCAAAATAAACATGGCCGGTCGAGTAAACGACCGCGTGCTTATAACGTTACCTCGCGCTAGCTAATAAGACACCTGCACTACAGGCTACTGACGGTTCAATTTTAGGTCTGACGGTAATCAGGATGACGTTTCTTCAATGAGTTTGAGTTAATGTTATGTTTTTCATCATTTGATATAAATTATTAACTATAGACCTGAATCCTCGGTCGGATTCATTGAGGCGGTTGTCTGTAGTAGCTACATTTGGCAGTAAATGGCTTTTACTTGGGGTAAAAGAGCACAGAACACGTCATCACAATGCAAGTTAAGATAAATGTGAGTAAGGTTAAGACTCATTTGCATATTTTCAGACTTCCACACTCACACCGTTCCACACTTCAACACTACCAAGTTAGGTGAATGTGAGTAAGGTGAAGATCATTTGCATATTTCCAGATCTCCACACTTTCACACTTCCACATTTCCACACTATCAAGCTAAGATACATGCAAGTAGGCTAATCACACATCACACATCTACTTTTATTGAATTAGTAAAATCTGTACCGACATCACTATATGAAGGCTTGAAATTATATTAACAACGATTTTGATCAAGAAATGGGTCAGCAATATTCCACAATAGTGCAAATAATCGTGAAAGCTGATCGCGGAAAAGCGATTTCGTGACGCTCGTTAAGTTGTAAGATGACATGTTATCACCTATCAGACGAAAAACAGTATAAATTCTCAGTCTGCATTTTGTACCCACTCTGTAGTCTGCAGCCCACATTTTGTACCTAGTCTGCATGTTGTATCCGGTCTGCACTCTGCATTTTGTACTAACAAGTATCCGTGGCACCAATACAGTTTACAATCGACCACAAAATACCTGTGTGTGAGTTAATTCGTCATTTTCGTTCTTTTCCGCGTTAATACTCTTTCCTTTTCTAAAAAAGTAGACATCACTTACAATGTTTCAATTAATCCACCCACCCAAAAAATAACTCTTGCATGCATAGCGTGCCTAGGTTTGTTTGTTTGTTTATTTGTTTGTTTTTTTTGGGGGGGCATCTCTTGCTTTTGTTTATTACAGTGGTTTCACTACCGATCAATCATCTCTAAATATGCTTACGATCTGCTGCCTCCAACACAAACATTAGCAAAAGGAATTGATGAAACTTAAGTTGAGGAAGAATATGCCGCTTTTAGACTTCCCGTACTTGATCCATTTCATCCCAGCGTGGTTAACTTTGTGAAAGATCCGGGAAAACTTTACGAGGGTATAAGTTATTCCAGTTTTGAAAACAACGTTCTTCGAATTAATTGAAGGCGAAGGTTTCGTTTCTGCACAATACAGAAAAGTTGCAAGGCCTTGAGGGACGATTGTTACGTTCTTCTTTCTGATCCTGACAGAAAACTGCGTTTGGTTCCACAGTAACTTTATTTAGTTCATGTCGACAACCAACACGACCTCTAGTGTGCTCAACTTTGTAATCGCCGCGTAGTCATCGATGTAATCGCCACGCAGTCGTTTATGTAATCCCACGCAGTCGTCTATGCAATCCAAAAAGCTTTACAAGGAACTTCCTAAAGTACTTTCGAGCACGTGGTTCTATTGTTCTCTAAATTTAAAATATTTTGAATACCATCACAAAAGAAGAGGAAAATGTCAGCACGAAAGATACTAGCAATGTAAACAATGCACCAAATATTTGCACAAGCGCTTCTTTTGAGAAAGATTATACGGTCATGTCAGTTTCAAGTGCTTTTTGTAACCTAATCCGCCTTGTGTCGGGAAACTGCAAAACAAAATCGTTTGTGACAAACTAGCACATTTATCAACGGTGTGACAACAGTGTCACGCCACCGAGCATTATTATGCAGTCATGTCAGAACGTGACAGCCATATCAGTTTCAAGTGCTATACTGTTGAAAGAAAAAAATTGGCATCAAGCAAGAATTTTCTACATGTGTGTTTTTAACTCATTTAGGTGTTGAAAAATGAATAAAATAGTATACTAGCCATTCAGTTAAAGAAAATTTTATAAGCTAATTGATCATTTCCTATTTCTTTAGCGGTTTTACTTTGCAAGTAGAGGGATGGATATCTTTTCTGTTTAGGAGAAAATAGTTCATTTAACTCCACAAATGTTTGTATAAGGCTGTTATCGATTTTAGCCAAGTTACATAATCTCCTATCGTGGAATTTGACTTGAGAGCCGATGTGCAATTTCTAATGTAATTCTAAGGAGTACTTTATAATTCTTATACCAGTCTTGTTTTTGTTTTGCCCGATCTTAACCGCAAAAGTGTGAAATTTTTAGGAAGAAAGTCGTTTTGGAAAGAATCAACAAACTGAAGGTACATACTTAATATGCGGGAACTGTTTCAGGTAACTTAACATGATTCGCTAGTTTAATAATGACGCTAGTCAAAGATTGACAGCTTGATAACTGTCACCTTTATAGGCTGGTGGCCAAAATTATCCTTGTGAGAGTAGTGCTAGAACCTGAGCTAGTGAGTTGTATCAAGTTTTAAGAAAAAGAATAATGGAGAGTGTCAACTACACTGGGAATGTTAGAAATTACTTGTAACAATATACGAACCAAATCCGCTTTGTGCCCCGTTAATGGACCATTGTACTTCCCCCCCCCCCCTTTTTTTCAACAATATTTCTCTTTCTATTAAACTGTAATTTTCATGGTAATTTAGTATCATCAACTGAGTTGATAACCTAAATTAGCCACTTAAAGGAATCCAAAAGCTGACGTTTCGAGCGTTAGCCCTTCGTCGAAGCGAATTCCCTTTTTATACCCTCCTAACGACGCAGCAGCACCGTTTCCTTAGAAACTTACCCCCTATGTAATTTTCATGTTCTCGTTGTAAAAATATATCAACTGACTTAAGTTAAAGACTTATTTCGAAAGTAATGGTTGTGCCTTAATGCCCGGAGCCCGCGAATTTAGACCCAACAATTATTATAACTTGAATAGAAACACTAGTCGATTGGTTCACTTGCGAGTTTTCAGTCTGTACCGAATAGAGCGCAGGACTTGTAGTAAGTCTTGGCTCCCTCTTTGTCACATGTATCGACGAACAATCTTCAACACAATCGGGACGCGCTGCAATTTGGTCCACGGAAAGGTTCGAAAACGCTCACAAGAATTCGACTGCAAAAGGTTTACTATTCATTAATTTAACCCGCGTGTGGCAACCTTTGGTTAAGAGGACTGGACGCAAGTCACGTGCGGGGCGTTTTTTTTAAAATTAAAATTTGTTTTCCTCCACCATTGCTCGTGTTGCCGTTTTTCTCCTTGTAGCGATATATTTCGCAAAAAGTATGCCCAGGAGACTCTTTCAAAAGACCTCTACCTTCTCCTCACTGGTTAGACGTTTGAACTATCGATGCTTCGCTTTATCGCTTGGCATTGTCAGTCTTACATCGTTTGCGCTTGTGTATTACAAAGGTCTCGATTTAAGAACACCAAACACGAAACTTCACCATCAAACACCAGTAAATGATGTTCAAGAGATGTTAATTCAAACAGCAGCCAATGATTCTGCCGCTTGTAAGCTGCCCGTTCTAGATCCCTTTCATCCCAGCGTGGTTAACTTTATGAAAGATCTTGGCAAACTCAGTTGCGAGGGTGTCAGTTATTCTAGTTTCGAAGACAACGTGCTTCGAATTGAAGGCGAAGCTGTCGTCTCAGCACAGTTCAGAAAAATTGGAAGGGCTGAAGGGGACGATTTTCGTGTGGTTCTTTCGGATCCGGTTAAAGTTTTGAACACGAGTGGAGGTCGAGCGTCAGCGACTGACCAGAAAGGTGAGATAAAACATAAGTGTAACTTGAGATAAATATGTTTGTAGTGAGTTATGTTTTGTAACTAGATTTCGATCAGTCCCTTCTCTACGGCGAAGTCCATCGCACGAGGTCGGAAAAATCAGCGAAAAAAATCGATGTCGATGTATTGCGGAAGCTCTGAGTGAAGCTCATGAATAGTACGTACTACAGTTTAAGGGCTCAGACGCACGAGGCAAATTTTTGTTTATTTTGAGAAAATTTAGGCGTGAAATCAATTTACAAGTCATGGTTTGAGAGAACACGTCAATCAAGAAAATTTGATGGCCGCCCACATGTTTAATTTTTACGCAGCAATCAAACTGTGAATATGGAAGATTTGTACCTCGGGATGCTGCATGACAATCAGGATATTCAGAATAAAGCTATTGTCACAGGCAGACAACCCTGTAGGACGTTAGTTATTTGATACGCTAGCTGAACTCTTACCTTCTTAGCTCAATCAT